AGCCGCGAATTTAATCATGTTGGGGCCGATTGACACGCCCAACACATTGATCGAATGGAATCCACTAGTAAGGCTTCAGCAAGCTTACTAAACACCTCTTCTTTAAGACTAGGAAATTTTAGCCGCATGTAACATTAATAGGGTACTGGACATGTACGTTTCTGGAAAAAAATGTTTCTTTCATCCACCTCAGCGCAGGCAATGGCAATTCTATCTACAGAATGATTATATTTTATTGTTAAGCATAATAGGTATTCAAATATAGTATTATTTTGATCGACGAAGGCGTTAGATAAGTGCAGTTTGCACTAATGTACTCACAGGAGTAAGGAAACCGTGTAGACGGTAGTGTGGCTCCTATACACGCTAAGTCTCTGCTGAAACAAGGAGAAAAATTCGTTTCAGGAAATAATAACTTTCGAAGATGGATTAAATAATCCGCTGAATGACTTTAACAGTTGTACTTCAACAACGGGGGATAAACAGGATCCGATAGTGGTAAATGAAACATTCCCACAACTATCTATATTAATCATGCCAGGCAAATTCCGACACGCATATGAGACAGAATGCACACCCTTTGAATAAACGGTGGGAAGTCATGACAAACGCTGAAGTCGGCAAAAGCGTAATACTTACTCGTACGAAAACGAACAAATAATAATGAACACTATTAGTCATTTTGCTTTCAAACTTTGGCTTCACCTCCCTTCTACCAAATTCCGACTAGGTTTTCAGGTTCTAGAAGAGATATATTTTAAAATTGTTAAAACTTATACTGTGATCCTTTCATAACATAACGCTCATAAAAAAGGTTTGGTTCTACCATGCATAATATCATAGAAAGTGTCTTCGATAGCAAGGTACCTCAGATTTCGGTAAAAATTAATGCCTTTTTTCCTCAATATACTTAACTTTAAAGGCAAATTTTATTATTTAAAGCATTACTAAGTTTAAACCCACTAATAAGACGAAATAATGCGACCACACTTATTCTCATCTACCAAGTTCAATTTGCATAAATTCGCAAGTATACTGAACATTTACAAAAAAGGTTAAACAGTTTCACCGATCGCTCACGGAACGTATTTGTTCAGCTCTACATTGCTGCTCATTTCGATCTCCGCTAGCAGCCGTGTACAGCAGTAAGTAGCTTTGACAGATAATAATTGCAGACATATATGCTGATAAAGAGGAACTGACAATAAAAAGGAGCTCAAAATGCCCATTTCTGGCTTTTTTGCTGAAATCAGCCAGTCCTACGCAATCTCAGGCATGGATCATTGGAGATGTGAATCCGCGATCATTGGGCACTGAGTGCAACCCCGTAGAAGGGACACGTTGATGTTGTTGGTTGCGATCGCGAATATGATGCTAGTCGGGGGGGCGCCGATCTGGTTAATGAACGACAATGTCTCTTTCCGCTCTGGAGTGCCCTATAGATTCCTCACTGGCAGTCGTATGTGGATTTGTGGAACAACGGCAGCGTAATTCAACGGTAGGGCGTTGTAATCAGGGTCTAAATGTCGCGGGTTCGAATCT